CACCCAAAAGAATGATTTAACATGAAAGAGTTGAGAGTGTCCCGAGAAAATCCCCTGTATCTGTTCCAGATTTGTCCACCAGATACAACACGGAAGGCTCTACGGTGGCAGAATCAGATAGGCGGCAGAGGTGTGGTTTATTCGTAACCTATTTTTATGGAAACTTCCAGTTTCACATGTATCCCGCATGGATCGATGGAGGCAGCATCTCACACGAGAGTCAACTCTTGTGAAGATTGCGGATTGTTTACGAACTTGCCACATGTTGTGATCCAGCGCGCTTTCCTTGCCAAGCAGCACAGACTTGGTTTAACCTCTGCATCGCGTGGTGATACTGCTCAGACAACGAAACAGATTCGCACGCTGTTTGCAAAAAGGGGCTCATAGAAACAGCTTATTTTCTACTACAGCTGCCCAGGTCTATTCTTATATTAAGAATCCACGAAAGACCTTCGAATTCCTTCTTGGAAAAGAAAAAGTCTGCCTTTAACATTCTCCCGTCAGTAAACTCCAGGGAAAAGCAATTAAGAGTCACTCAGACGAAGAAATTCTTTGAAACCGAAGGCTCATCACCGTATTTACAAAATTCCATCACTCCTCCTGCTAGTCTAATTTTCTTCATGGCTTTTCACAGTCGACCGCCTCTGTGGTCTAGTGGTCAGAGTTCCTGACTACAGATCCAGAGGTACCGGGTTAGATTCCAGGCGCTACCAGATTTTCTGAGAAGTAGTGGGTCTGGAACGGTGTCCACTCAGCCTCGTGAGGATAATTGAGGAGCTATTTAAAGGAAATAGCGGCTCCGGTCTAGAAAACCGATATTGGCGACCATGTGGACCCGTTGCTTTGACACGTGACACTCTTTCTCCGTTAAAGTTGGCACTAGCTTCGCGGCCAAGCGGCGGCCCTTCGGTCGGTATAGTTCTCTTGCGGACTACAGGCCACGGAGTTTTCTTTTTCACAGTCGCTCCAAGGAAATCGAATATATCTGGTATTAAAAAAAATAAAATTTCATACAATTTTGTAATTTATTACGTGATACATTCACATACAGCGGATATATATGTATAATTCGGCTCTATATAAGAAATAAATTTACGTGCAAATGTATTTGGAAGTGAAACCGTAATGAAAACCACGCCTTAACTACAGATATGAAAGGCGAAACAAGTGGGTTAAGGTGGCGAAATTTTAATCTCCCTGAGAAAAATGCCTAAAAATCATTACGAATAATGTTGGCAGAATGACGACAGTCGGCCAAGATGATTCACTGAAATATCACAGGAACATTACACTTTGCTCCTTATAAACTACCAGTTTTGCTGCAGTGAAGTGATTACAATGTTATACGAGCATAAAATATGGGTCAGTAACATCGGATGGCAAAAGTTTAGAAAGTGAATTCTGTCGTCGAACTGGAATATGAGTTGCAGGTGGAAATAAAGGTAACACGTTCTGGCGGATAGGAGCACGCTCATTTCCATCCAATGACAGTTTTTCGAACTAAATTGGTGACATGTTCTAGGTACATTCCATTTACATATTTACAGTCTATCTAACCAGAATGTAAAATAGCTCAGGTTAGACCTGTGTAGCTTTGAGCAGTCCGGTCTAGAAAACCTAAATTAACGGCCTTGAGGATCCGTTCAGCTGACCACGCGACACCTCTATCCGCTAAAGTTGGCACTGACTTCGCCGACAAGCGGCGGTGGCTCGGTCGATATAGTTCGCTTGCGTACTAAAACCACAGAGTTAGTTAGTTAGTTAGTTGGCTTCCAGCGGTAAGGTGATCAATGAATAATGAATTAGAAAGGATGTGGAATGAAGTGGTCGTGGCCTAATTTGAGGCACTATCTTCACCTTGTCTCGGACTCACGAATCCCCTAAGTCAGGATAGTCGATGACCCGTCCTAGATTCGAACGTAACAACAGGATACAAGTCAGAAGCGCTACGACTAAAGTCAACTTGCTCAGTCACCAGGCACAGTGTCTTTTCGCAAAATCTGTGAATCCTGGATCAGAGGTACTGTACAACTTCGATTACAAAACTGAGATTTCGTTTTAATTTAGCAACTGTAATTAGCTCTCAGAATACTTTAATACAGTTCACAGTCGAATATGGTGATACAGTAGTAAGGTTCTAAACTTATATTCGGAACGTCCTCGGTTCGAATCTCAGCCGAAATACAGGGTATACTGACTGAGGCTTTTCATATTTTTCCTGGTCCCTCCAGGCAAACGTAGCGGTAATAAGTCGATTGTGCCACGATCACTTTCTTCAAAGTCTTTCACAATTTGTCAATCATCAATCATAATAACATTCAACGTTCCATAGTTTCGATATATTTCATAAATTACTATTTACAAAACATTTTAATTACACAACAATAAATGTTTATATAGTCACGTGTAGGATGGTGTGTGTGACTTATAGACGGCTTTGGATTGGATTTATTGATACCTTATACAATCCATTCGGAATTACAGGCAATTACAGCACTATCGATGATCTATACACTTTAGAGTTCATTAATGCGAACGCTACTGTCCTGAGTTCTGAGTAGTCATATCCTGCCAACGGATTCATAACAGCCACACTGTCACTTCAAATCATATCTGAAGTCTTCTTTGCACAGCCTAATTCCTTTCTTGCCATTTCTTCTCAATTATTCTGCCAACCTCCAACTCGGGAGACATTCGCAATTCCCTGCTGCAACTGCCAACTCCAGAACTGAATCTAATTCTAATTCTAGCTGCGTGAGATCCTCGTTATATAGTCTCGAGGCTGACCCACAAGAAACACCGCTTCCTTTATTGTTGCATGTTGATTCACTGCTGCAGAAATATGTTTACCGCACAGTTGCCTAGCAACGAGCGCGGCGCTTACCCACAGAGAACGCCGCTTCCTTTATTGTTGCATGTTGATTCACTGCTGCAGAAATATGTTTACCGCACAGTTGCCTAGCAACGAGCGCGGCGCTTACCCACAGAGAACGCCGCTTGCAACAACTCTTCTGTGATTGAGTGACGTTACAGCGTACGTGACGCGTTCCTCTGCTGCGCGTGTACGGGCCGTTACCTGGGAATTCCTGTTTCTCTGCTTCCACAGTTCTTGCTTCGAGCAAATCAGCCACAATATTATAAAATAATTAGGTACATATTTCTTTCATAACGCTCAAAAAATGTATAACAAATACATTAAATATTTAACCATTTCAAGTCAGTGTCTATGCCTTTCATTTCCGTTTCAAATTGAATCATGTGAGGCGCCAAGGAAGTCAAGTGTGGATGAACATTGTTCTTCTATCTTGACGGATTGAGGTTTCTGGCCTGCTCCCATTCAGAATTGATTCTGAAATTACTAGTCTTGTAGACAGTCAGTAGGACTCCTTGGACAGGAAATCAGCCCGTCGCAAGACCGCTACCTAAACACAGAACAACACAAACACAAAATAAACGCAGACAAACGCTCATTCCTCGAGTGGGATTCGAGACCACGATCCCAGTGTTCGAGCGGGAGAAGACAGTTGAAGCCTTAGACAGCGCGGACGCTGTAATCAACTGGTCTCAAATTAGTTTATTCAAAACAAAATTAACAGCCGCATGCAAGAGTTTTCAATGGAAAAAGTGAAATAAGGATGTAGGGTACGCTTGGAAATCTGCTTAGGCACCTCTAGTGGTACTGGCATTACAGTTTGAGAAACACTGACTTGCGAAGTTTCTGTCATGTTAACACATGTAACCTGTTTAGATAGATGAAGTACATATTTGAAGTAGGATAAGATTGTGACGAAAATGTGGCCGTGAGGATTCTATGTTAATCTTGTTTATTTACAGTTTATTTTACGTTTCAGTGTCTCAGGTATTAGCGCCGAATGGTTGAGTGACATTTCTAATGAACTGGAAGGGACGTAGAAGGAAGTGGTCATTGCTTAATTAGAGTTACTATACCAGTATTTGCCTGGAGGAACTGAAGAAAATTGTGAAAGAAACCTCAATCAGTGAGGTTGATGTTCCGGCCGAGATTCGAACTGGACACCTCCTTAGTATATGTCAGAAGCGTTATCGCTTGAGCCAATTTGTTCGAAATAAAGTACTTGCATGATAACACAGTTCAGAGGTACGTATACCACACTGTTTTTAAATTTTTCACACACTGCACAATTAACTGTAAAACATTAATTCATGTAGCCTGTAGATTTACAGGTAAACAAAAACTTACATTCAAATACAGATGAACGTTGAAAATATAAATATATTACGGAAAATTGGCATAGATAAAATTGATAGCAACAATCGATATGCAGTAGGGGATAACGCATTCTAAATAACGAATTCCTCATCATTAAGCATGACACCAACAACGCATCCCGTCACGTCTCTTTAGAGTAAATAAATTAACAGTTGAGACGGCATTAAATGGCATTGCAGATTTCTGTTTCACTGAAAGTTTAAATGTAATGAACTTGAATATGTTCGAAATTGTGGAAACTCTTAAGTAAATCAACACTCTAAATTTAATATTGAAATTAGTCTAGATGTAAAAAGTAGTGGACACTGTTAAATAAAACATCGCTCTAAATTAATGATGACAGGACTTTCTCAGATGCAAAAATACAACACTACTATTTTTGTATTCTTCGCTCGTCACACCTTGAAACACAAAACATCATTTCATGCATAACGCAGAACCGTAACTATTGTAGACGTGAACTTGTAGAACAGAACCAACCGGCTGGAAAATTACAGGTAAAAATAGATGTTAATTACATTATGAAACAAGACGCTGTGAGCAAACGTCTGACGCCCTCGTTCTGTGAGATGTTCTAGGTTTCAGTAACGAATGTGAGGATTAAAGCGTGTGTGTTTATTTAACAGCGACTTGTCAGCTGTGTAGATTACGCAGTGTCGAGTGGGAGGGAGCAGTTGGGGAGGGTAGAAGAAAGCCTTAGTGGCTTATTCTTGTCCCGCCTTAAAGGAGGCCAGAGCGGGGTTGCCAGCTGCCGTGAAGTTCGCTGCTGTCGTGGGTGAGAGACAGGCGCACTGTCAGAAGGGAAACACTTGCTAGCGCTGGAAGACGTGAAGTGTGTCAGTGGTGTGACTATGCAATCGTATATGCCATTCATCAACGAGTACTGGCCCTTCATCGCAGCAGGGGTAATTTGCTACCTGGGGGCCAAGTTCCTGTACCAAAGCGCCGTGTCCTGGGACCCGAACCCTGGAGCAGCACGGAGCTACGAAACTCCAGACAAAGGTACTTGTATGTTGATTCAAACTCTGGTTACAGATCCATTATGTTCCGGTCATCTGCTGCTGTTGTGTATGGGTATGAAACTGGCTCTTTCGTCCTAAAAAAAGAAAATACTATATGTCGAGGATTTTGGATATTTGGAGTGTAAGAAAGCTAAAATAGACAAGAACTGCAAACATTTATATACTGACGAACTTCAAAATTTGTACATTCATGTATTATCGTTAGGGTGCTACAGGCAACACGCATGTGGACAGCGAACAACATGTACGACACTTTGGTCTAGAACCCCTGAGGAACTCGGCATACATAGGAAATTAATATTAAAGTGAATCTTATGTAGAGTGTGGAATGGATTCAGCTGGTTCTTGGTAGGGTGCAGTGGCGGAATTTTTTGAACACAGCAATGAAACTTCCGGAACCATACAAGGAACGGAATTGCTTGAATAACTGAACAATTATCAGCCCCCCCCCCAAGAGGTCCTGAGCATGGAGTTAACTAGACAGCCAGTCAGTTACATTACCATATTCACATGTGATAGTTGCACTTGTGAGAGGTGTCAAGTAGAAAATGAAACAGCCACACACATATCCTGTGTGAATGTGAGGCCTTAGCTTATTTAAGATTGCGTCACTTGGGTCAATACTTCATGGAACCAAGTGACTATTTCGACGCCCCCACATACAAAATCCTGCTCTTCATTTGAAACGCAGGATTGCTGAGGGGATAATCAGAAGGGGAAGCACACTGTGGTCGCGGTACAAGGGCCGAGAAGGCCCACCCTTTGTACATTCATTCATTCATTCATTCACGTTCACATGGGTTGAGAATTATGTTCACATCCACCAACCCCCCAAACTTGCACCTGATAGTCTGGCTGGCCGTTGAGGTAATCTTCCTTAATCCTTGTAGAGAAATTGCGGTTTATCAGCTGAGGACCATGTTATGTAGGCTGGTTTGTTGGGTCAGGCCATCTAGGATTGGTGATAGGTAAGCATGGGACTTTGTAATGTTGACTGACAGAGGGAAACTTAAGTGCACATCCACCAGCAGCCAAAATGGATTACACTGGGATTCATCCCCGGCTTCCGCGGTTGCAAGCCGGATTATAATCCTGTTTGAGCTTATCTACTACATTTCTGATCAGTATTGGGAATGCTATTGTACTGGGGCAGAGTAACACCCACGGTTTACAGTTATATCCAAAATTCATATTTTTTAACGTGTTTCTCTCAGCCAGATTTTACTTATGATTCAGGAATTTAAAGACACGTAGACATTCTGACACATTATCGTTTAAACGGAAGGGAGACTCAGAAGACAGATATGTGAATGTCTTTGTGGTATGTGCGCACGGAATGTCAATGAGGAGTTGCCTGTGCATTCAGTTCCATAGTGGCTTGTAGTACGTGAGCACCGAGGCAAATCGATTGAGAATTACTTAACGTACCGAGATGCATCAATCGTTGTGAAATCTATGGTTTATTTACAGTCATGGCTATGCTGAAAAATAAACTAAAATATGAAGCGCAAATATTTTCCAAATGTGATGTTTGTTATTTTACAACCTTCATTTGTTCCCGTGTTTGTTAGTGCGCATACAAATCAATTACTGCAATGCGCATATAAGCTGCCATACTAACGCTTGGAAGAATAATTACTTATTTTTCATGTATTTGGTTAAATGACACCACACAGAAACGTACTGGGAATAAAAACTGCATAGATACCCGTATAAGTGATATCTTATCATGTACAGGCCCCGTTCGCAGTTTTTCAGACAGTTGTTTACACATAATCATCCTCATCAAAACTCCATACACGCTTGTTTGCGCCACCTGTGCTAAAAGTTCATTCCGTCCTGATATCGATTTTAATATCGTAATAATGATATGGCCGATCACAGTGGCCGCGCGGTCTAAGGCATGAACTGTCTTCGTTCGGTCGAACATGGGGATCGTGGGTTCGAATCCCAGTCAAGGCATGGATGTATGTCTTCGTGTATTCTGTGTTTGTGTTGTCCTGTGTAGGTAGCGGCCTTACAACTGGCTGATCCTCCATCCAAGAGTCCTAGGATTAAGAAACTGAAGTGAAACAAAGCGTTTCACAAATGTCCTGTGTTCCAAAGTGGGAACAACATGAAAAAGAGAGAGAGAGAATAATGCTATGAAAGCAGAACAAATCACGAATCTCCCAGAAAAAATCTCATTTACGAAACCGGTATAAAAATTATTAATGTTTTTGTATTTGTTATAAATAAACATATGATCTTCTCTGGTATTACTGTGCAGCTAGACTGCCCAATTTTCAATGATGACGCTTACTGACAATCTCATGAACACAGATATTTGAATTAGAATTTGGATCAGACTCCATCTCATTGTTGTTACAGTGGCAGAGGCGGATGATGGGGATGAGTTTGAAGAGAACGATGGGCAGAATCCAGAACTTTCAAGTGCATTGCCATGGGATCTGGAGCACGTGCCTCTTGAGTTTAAACGTCTGCCAGTGGAGGAGACGATACAACGATCCTTGGAGTTCTACAACTTAATGAGCACTCGGCGTACAGTTCGGTTCTTCAGCTCTGATCCCATCCCTGCTGATGTCATCCGTAACATCATCAGGGCTGCTGGTATGTTATTTCGTGTGCACATGAAACTATGTCTTCCAGATCCCCTTATACTGAGGTGGACATATCTCTCTGTTGGTGTTATTCAGCGTCTTATGATGTGACTACTTAGGTCATGCACTAGACTGAGATAAAGTAGGATGATCGTGAGTAATTAATCGGGAGGGAAACAGTATGAATCCGTCATGACCTATTTTAAGACACTGTCACTTATTTAGTTGTACTATTCTCCAAATATAATTTGAATGATCAAGTCGAGGATAAGGTGGGCAGGGCATGTAGCACGAATGGGGGAGAATAGGAACGCATATAGGATATTGGTGGGAAAGTCAAATGGAAAGAGACCACTGGGAAGACCAAGGCGTAGGTGGGTGGACAATATTAAAATGAATCTTAGAGAGATAGTGTGGGATGGTATGGATTGGATTGAGCTGGCTCAGGATTGGGGCCAGTGGAGGGCCCTTGTGAGCACGGTAATGAACCTTCAGGTTCCACAAAATGCTGGGAAATTCTTGAGTAGCTGCAGAATTGGCAGCTCCTCCAGAAGAGCTCAGCTCCATAAGTAAGTAAGTACATAATACACCTGTCCCCACATGCTTCACTTCGACGCGGTGTATGCCTCGACTAAATTCAGCGGAATGAGTCTTATATCCCAGGGGTACACGGGTGTTGGCTCGCTTACGTCGTTTTTTTGGATGCGGGCTCGATCGGTTAACCCCCTAGCACAGGTTCCACATGAACACGCTCACTCCCTGGCCTCTACCCACTAACTAACTCCTTACCTCCGCTGCTGCTTCCAGAAACCATGTTCTTAGCCATCTCGAACTTTCCACTGGGGGGGGGGCCTTCATGACCAAATGCAAGTACCCCTTCCAGTCTGCACACCTTCTAGAAGTTTCTCGAAGCTTCGATCCACAGGTCCTCCACCCCCACAGGCACGGACGAAAGAAGGTATACCTACTCCCCCTTGAATGCAATGGACTCACCAACCTCCCTCCAGTCCCTCGCAACAAAAGGCCAGTTCAGAGGACCATGAACCCTCCGGGGCATCTCACTTCCACAGCCAAACCCAATCGCCAAGCATAAACAGATAAGATACCTCCGTGAAGGATGCGTACGGTTACAGTAAGTAAGTAAGTAAGTAAATAAGGTACTTATTTAGTCACTAGAGATGGGATTTTGGTTGGTAAGTGGATTTATTGAACATGTATAACTTGTAACTACAAGTAACTATAGCGCTATCACTAATTCACACACTCTACTATTCACTACAGCACGCACTAAGTCTTCTCAGTCTTCATCAGTCATTGATTGGTAACAGCTCCCAACACTGTAGATTCCTCTGCTTCCGTGTTCATATCCTTATGGGTTGCCAACTGTCTCATAGCTCTTCATGGCCGCAACTCCTGGCCATTGACTCCCAGCTGCATCTGGAGATCTGGCCTCTACTGGCTATCGCTGACTAGTACTCACTTCCACCTTGTCTGCAGACTGCCTGTCTTAGAACTCACTCAGAGTCAGAGTCAGAGTCAGAGTCAGAGTTACTTTATGACTGGCAGTTTGCCGCCAAACAGTTCGTCTTGGCAACAAATGCCTTGAAACTCAAGACCAGCAAATTTTTTTCCAACTGAACACTTGCAGTTATAGTCCTCATGTAACATCTTCTCTGACGAGAGGATGGATCTGTAGTTTACAATTGCTGCTGGCCCTCTTCAGCGCAGTCATTCTCAGGTCCGAGTCCCATGGGACTCATGACCATATTTTGCTGTCTCAGATTTGAGACTCCCACAACCTAGACGGCCAGGTCCCCGTATTTATATCCCCCAGGAATAGGGTGGCGCAGTTATACCCCTAGGTACTGGGTTCCCTTTTCGTTGCCTCCTGCGACTCACAGGGCTACGGTGGAGGCATTTGACCCCGCCTCCACACGGGTTTTCTCACTCAATCAAAGCCCCAGTTGGCTCTCTTTATATAACCTCAGCATAAACCGCATATAAAACACCGCTTCCAATAGTTCTTCTATTGTTTCATATGTATATCCGTTGCCAAGGAGACTTGTTCACTGAGACATTGCCTAGCAACAGCAGTCTCTTCTGGTTCTGCTATCCGGGCTTTTAGCAGATATGTCACAACACTTATTGCAGAATCGCTGTGGAGGGATTGCAAAATATCATGAAATCTCAAAGTCGAGATGGCTGACCTGCAGGCTGGCTAAACTGAATCCTTCCGTATACTGGCAGGCATGAAACACAACACTGCTGTGTTACATATTAATTATTAAAGAAAATAATAAATACAAAAATGATCCATACTCAGTTTAATGTTAATAAATATTACAGGTTAATTGTAAGAAAAGTCAGATAAGTTCTTGGCCAAAAAAAATCATATATCTGTACCTGGGATTTGAAAACAGCTCTAGAGCGCGAGTCAAGACACATTATTGCTGTGTGTTTTCAACGATCTCACAATCTCATACATGAAATTACTTTAAGAGCAATCACCATACTTCTTTCTGTAGGTACTGCCCCTAGTGGGGCCCATACAGAACCATGGACATATGTCGTCATATCTGATCCTGAGGTGAAGAAGAAAGTGAGAGAAATTGTAGAAGAAGAAGAGTACATCAATTACACCAAGAGAATGGGTAAGGTTTAATAGGGCACTGATAATAATTAGACTGCCTCCTGGAATCACTGCTTGATGCAGTGCATGCTTTTTCTGTGTATGCGTGTCCCTGCTTATTATCTCTGAACTTACTTAGATGTCGATATTGTTGAAGTAAAGCTAAAAGCTATCCATGTAACAGGCCGTGAAGGCCCATAGGGTTGTGAAACGTCGGAAGTTCCCACATTTTCTCTAGATAATTGACTCACAGATGGCAGTAAGTTTGTTAGCCTTACTCGCCGGCCGCGATTTACCCTCCAGGAAGATTCCTGGTACTATTTCTGTTAGATACTGAGTCGACTCCAGGGCCATAGTGCAGCTGGAAGGAATATGTCAATTAAAAAGAATCAACCTCATTGGGTCTCGAACCTGCGACCTTCTGGCTTGTAGCATAGTGCCTCAACCAACTACGCTACTGCATGCCCCCACTGTTGGCAACATAAGACAAATTTTAAATCAGCACTTTAAACAATCCCTACAAGATACTGCATAGTATTCAAGGTAAGACCGATACTAACATAATTCACAGAATCATGAACATGTAAATATTAGTATTTCTTAAAAATGTGATATTGAACAAAGTGATTTTGATCATAAAATTGAAAATAAAAATCTAATGACTATGAAAATTTTCTTCAGTAGGATTTGATAACTGATGAGTCATTATACATAGATAGGCCCTTGAAATTTGGCATTGTTAGTGCACACGCTACTCAGTCTTGTTTTATACTGTAACCATATACTTGCAGGCTTTCAAATTTTCACTACTATTTTAATAGTGACATAGTAAAGAACTGTATGTTTCATACTCATTGATTTTGGCTTATAAACATTTAAGGAATACAATTTTATGTTGCCGGTCAAGGTAGCTAATACTAACCAAGTAACAAGTCCGACTTTTGAAAACTTAGTTTCTGTTATTAAGCCAAAGAGATGGAGTGGGGAATATTCACACAATCTGAGGAATTCGAAAAGAAAACAGAACATCAATAATTCTTTTTTTTTTTGGTTTATTTTACGAAGCTGTCACTATCTAGACTACAAGGCGTCGAATGGTGAATTGAAAGGACTAGAAAGGAAGCTGTCATGCCATAATTGAATGTTATCCCTGATATCCACTGGAGGAGCTGGAGAAAACCACGAAAAACCTCAGAATAACCGGTATCCTGACAAAAACTCAAACCGAGCACCTCCCAAATACAAGTCTAGAGAGTTACCGCTACACCAACCTGCTCCGTGTCTCCCTTTTTGACGAAAACTTGACACTTGCCACTAGATCGCCTGTAGAGTCTTCTGCATGACTGAGAAATTAACATTTCAGCATATGCCTCTGTGACACTTCTAAGTGAAAATAACTTGGAAAATGGTACATATGTAATCCTTCTGGTTTAGTTAGAACGTGTTGCTAGTTAGCTTTGTATCCTAATTTAAAGAGTGGCTTGTACATTTAAGTTTAATTACCACTGTTTAAACCTCATGAGACCGATCAGCTTAGAAATGATGTCAACATGACTTGATTCGTTTGTCCAATCCTGGAGCTAAGCTTCAGTGTCGTCATATAAAATCTGGAACTGCAGACTGAAACATTACTGCTGTTTACCATCAGTTAATAGCAGTCAGAAGTCTCGCCTCGAAGGTGACGGAAGCTCCTCGATGACTCAATGACATTGTCACGATTTTATGGAGTGTGACTGTAGACGGGTTTTGGATTGATGATCACATTTAACGGACTCTTTGATACAGCGCATAACTGCACTTTACACTACACACATACACTAATGTCCACAGTCATGTCTTCACTAGCCGTTATTTGGTAGCGGCTTCAATGAAGGACGTTCCCCTTCCTCTGGGTTCCCGAACTGCCCACGGCCTCATCTACCAGTTTCTAACAGCAACAGCTCACAATGACTGAGCCCCAGTAGATCTCTAGCTCGCTGACTGCCTGCAACACCCCTGCTTGTAACATCTCGGCATGGACTGCATAGAAAACATCATTCATCTGTTGCTGTGCAATTGTTGCCATGGAAACATGCTTGTTTACGGAGCCTTTACTTAGCAATGGCTGTTGTACAGTTGCTTATTTCGCGGTCATTGCCTAGCAACGGGTCTACATGTCACAATATTTTGAACTTCTAAAGTTAGTCACTTATCACCTTGATTCAGTGTTACATAAATCTTTGTAACCATGATTACCAAAGATGAATGTGAAGAATGCAGTTGGTCTAGCCTAGTCACAGAAGAAGTATACATTTAGATGTTTAGACCCCTATGCATCCCTGCTGGGTCTCCTATTAGTAACAGTCTGGTCATACATCTGTATAACTGGCCAGAAACAGGAGGAGCGCTAAATAAGCCTAGAGAGTTCTGAGCCTAACCAACACATGGGGGGGGATTGTATCTGTACTAAAATGTCTGCCATAGGTCAAGGGTGGGGGGGGGAGCATAGTGTTTCTGTTTAAAATGTTCTGTCAACACAACAGAGCCTAAAACTGCTAAAAGAAAAGGGTACTGTGCAGCATAAAAGATCTTTTAAAATATGAACTTTAAAACAAGAACTTAAGTTGTCCCATCTTTTCTTAAATGTAAGCTTTGGGGGAGGGGGGTTGTTAAACTGTATTTGGTCATGGCCCCACCTAATCAGATGGTCATAAGGTGCCACTGCATTATGTAGCTATTGTGGTATTCTGTGACTTGTGAACATTAACTGATTTTCAAAGAGTGGTCCCCTGAATACTTTTAACTTCTCATACACTCCTTGAATTCACAACCCCTTGCACTCTCCACCTCATTGATGCTATACCCTTAACCCTTGAGATACCATTCTGACATTTCAAAGATAATGGCACCCTACACACTGAGTAAAGACTGTTAGAAGCAATCAAAGGTGTTACAACCACCAGGGCAACAGCCAGTTAACATAATGTAATTACTAATAATATGTTATCATTTTACATCATACATTAATTTAAGATTTATATTATTATGGAACATACTTGAGTCACAGCAGTGTATGACATTTTGTGTTGTACTCCCACTCCACTTTCCCAGCATCTCTTATAGTAGTACAGTACTTTTTAATCAATTACAAATTCCACTTCAAGTAGAAGATATATAGCCACCATAACTTCAAATTGTTGCACAGTTGGTAATCCTACCAGTAGTTTGATATTATTGTGTACAAGGCCATCAGCCTTACTGGTTACAGTCACCCAACTAATTAAATATAAAATGTATGAGCATATGGAAGCGTAGTTGGTTGAGGCACCATGTTATAAGCCGGAAGGTAGTGAGTGCGATCCCCGATGAGGTAATTGGATTTTTTTTTTAAATTTACCTAATCATTCTGGCCACACAATGGCCTTCGGGTTGCCTCTGCTTCTAACAGAAAGAAATAACAGAAATTATCCTGTGGGATAAAGGGTGGCTGACATGTACAGCTGACAACCTTACCATTATATGTTAGCCGATTGTCTAGACGTGGGAGTCTTGATGTTCCACAACTGTGGGTTTTCATGACCCGTAACAGGGATAGCTTTACCTTCTTTTATGTAAAAACAATTATGCATGTTACAGGTGACCAGTGGACTACAGACTTGAAGCCTCTAAGAACAGATTGGATCAAAGAATACCTGACAGATGCTCCATACCTAATCCTTGTGTTTAAACAGCTGTACAGCTTTAAGGAAGATGGAACTAAATGCACCCACTACTACAATGAGATGAGCGTGTCCCTTGCTTCAGGAATCCTCCTTGCAGCCATTCATGTGAGATATTCATTACTGTAAACCTTACACAATTACCAATTTCAGCAGGATTACTTCAGGCACTCTGAGTATGAACATACTTTACCAAACACAATACCTCATAATTAACCATAACTCCAAATCCACCATGAGTGGGGAATTTCTTGGCTAGCTGCAAAACTATCAGGTTCTGTGACTGCTCGCAATCTTCATTCAGAAGTTCTATGTAGCCTATCAGTCCATCACCAACATCATAAAATCTACTCATCAATAAATAACCCATAAAAGAAACATAAAAGTCTCCCATTAGACCCTATGTTTATCATAATATAAATCAGATTAAATGAACTAACATTAAGAAATAGCATTTCCTTCAAGTATACAATGACTGTAAGCCATGAATCATGTGTGGGACCAAGTTGTGCTATAAGGAAATTTTATTTAGCTACAGAAATAATTTTGCTATTGAACTGTAACATTACTCTTTAAATATGTGGTTAACTGCATAGAACTTTCTTTTACCTCAAAATATTTCATAATTTGCAATTCTTCCTTACTGTACCATTCTTGTATATGAGAAATGACTCCTTCTAGAATGAATGTGAACTGTGTTCCTTAACTGTTTGTGGTTGCAGTATGCGGGGTTAGTATCCTTGACTAGCACTCCACTCAACTGTGGACCTGCTCTGCGAACTCTAGTTGGAAGGCCAACATCTGAGAAACTCACACTACTGCTGCCAGTAGGCTACCCAGCAGCTCATGCTACAGTACCAGACCTCAAACGGAAGCCACTCGAAGATATCTTGGTGGAGATATGAATTTAGGCTACTAGAGAGAAATAACAGTTTCAGCATTTATGTATTGCAAGAGTCCAATATCTGTCATGTGCCTGGGCAGTACTAAACACCACATTTTAATCACCTGTGTCATAGATTCTTATGACAGAATTTTAATGCCAGGTTTTTATCTGAAGATTGGACTTCCATAAGAAAACTATAATTTGGATCACATATATTATTCAATTTGTGGTTGATGACTGCTGTACTGGTGCTATGAAGAGGAGGATGGAGCAATATGTGTTCCAGATGGTAAAACAAAGTGGAAGCAGCTGCACTGCAAACCTTATTTCACCTAATTTTTCATCAGCTCTGTAAGGGGCAGAGCAGTAAACATAAGATTGAAACAACCTCACTGCTATTATGAAAATGAATCATAAACTAAAAACAGACTTGGATAAAAATTATGTTTCAAATATTCTCAGCAAAATTGAAGGGTACAAAATAACTGGTTATAATACATGTATGAAATGAAAACAAACAGAATACCAGAGCAGCACTAGGATACTAATCACTGGGTTGAACATATCCTGAATGCCTGAAGAAAAGATGGAGACCAGTTGTGTCTAGAGGTTAGAGGAATGGGCAAATAAGTCTAATCCAGAGCAATGATAACGAGAAAATCAGAATATTAGGGTTTAATGAGCTAACAGGGAAGCACAGTTAAGTTTTTTAANTAATGTGTGTGTGTGTGTGTATATATATATATATATATATATATATATATATATATAGAAACGAAGAGCCCTTTATTCCTAATTCTGCAGCTGAAATGAGAATAGTTGTGAATTAACTTGGAAGTCACAGTCTCATGCCCTTGTTTCAGCTTTTCAGATTCATGTAATTCCATATTTTATTCCATCAATTTATTCTTCTAGAACATTTACACAAATCCTAACACAATGAACAAATATGTGGGACCAACTAATTGTTCTAACAGCAATGTGATATTCATAATATAATTTTACAACAAAGATATTATAAAGATTATTGCACTTTTATGATTATCAAACGTTTAATGAATCATACAAATAATTACAAGCTCGCTGTCTTTTGGTACTAAGTGTCCATACTAGCCTCAACTTTGGCACTGCCTCTGATTGTAACAGCACAGCTGCCAGGACTGCTTGAGAAATGCCATATTCAACTGGACTAGTACCATACCCTTATTATCTGAAACTAAGGCTGTCATAATTAACTGCTTTTTTAATTACAATCTGTTTCCTTCTGTAAAGACATATTACTGCTTCTTAAGCTCAGAATGCAGAATTTTAGCTTCAAATATCATATACAATTATTGTATTCATGGTATGTAAATTCAGTAAAAGTAAAGTAAAGCTATCCCTGTACCAGGCCGTGAAGGCCCATTGGGTTGTGAGACGTTGAGGGTCCCACACTATCCAGACAGTCGGCTCAAAGATGGCAGTAAGGTTGTCAGCCTTACGCGCCAGCCACGCTTTACTCCCTAGGAAAATGTCAGCCTTACGCGCCAGCCATGCTTTACTCCCTAGGAAAATTATTTAATTAATTCCTTGTACTCATTTCTGTTAGAGGCTGAGTAAACCCCAGGGCCTAATGTGGCTGGAAGGATTAGGTCAACTGAAAAAAATCCAATGACCTCATCGGGACTTGAACCCATGACCTTCTGGCTTGTAGCATAGCACCTCGACCACTACCCTACTGCGTGCCCCATGTAAATTCCGTACTACCACTTATTGAAATACTCAGTTTTAAAACCCTCAAACTTGAGTTTCTAAAAGAAACTCTTCAGTTGAACTTTCTCCAAGTTTGAAATTAAATTACATGTTTATTATTCATTTACAAATACATTAGTTGGTATTTCCTGAGTCATGTATAGTAATATTAACCAAATAAGCTTCTGAGTACTCAGTTCAATTAGAAATACCCTATAGAGAATCCCAAGAGCTGCAGTTAGAACTGACATATGTTAGCATGGGTTCTAACATTGTTTATATGTACTGACTGCCCATGTTTACATAAAACATAAAGGCAGTATTAAAACACGAATTTTGACTTGTAATTCACAGAACACACTGTTACCTACAAATTACAGGATACAGTTGATCATATAGTTGCAAGATGCAGAGCACAGTGTAACACACTACATACAGCCCTTCTCTTTTTCTTCTTCCTTCAACATTTTCACTTTCATGTGGGTCACCTAGCAACCAAGCCCCTGTATCTATCTCTGTCTTCCCAAGCTCCTCCTGAATTTCCTCCCATGTTTCTCCTTCCTTCTGTCCTTCTGCATGACAACCTGTTATCCCCTTCTTGATCTCAGCCTTCCTCTTTTGTTCAGATTTGGATTCTGTGTTCAGTCATTCTTAAAACTTGCCAATACAATCCTACTCTGTTATCTAATTTATCTTCAAAAGTATTTATATCCATTATTAAACTATCTCTAATGTTTTCACTTCTCACTCACCCTAAGTTTTCCCATCTATAAAAAGTAAAGCTATCCCTGTATCAGGCCGTGAAGGCCCATAAGGTTGTGAGATGTTGAGGGTCCCACACTATCTAGACAATCGGCTCAAAGATGGTGCCGGCCGCGCTTTACTCCCCAGGAAAATTATTTAATTAATTACTGGTACTCATTTCTGTTAGAGGCTGAGTAAACCCCAGGGCCTAGTGCGCCTGGAAGGATTAGGTCAAGTGAAAAAATCCAATATTTTCTTAAAATATTACTTCAGCTGCCATTAGTCTACTAATATCTGCCTTGGTCCATGCTTATGTGTCTGCTTAATTTTTTGTTATCTGCATGCAGTAACTTAAAATTCTTCACTTTATTTCATTATTATTACATTTTATCTTTTTGATTAACCTTGTACTCAAGGTTATCTTCATAAACATACAACTGATATTTAATTAAATGTTTTTATACACCTGCCTTTTGGAATAATAATTAGTTTCATAATATTTAATATTTAAGCATCCTGTTCCATCAATATATCAATAAATGAACTCATTTCATTCTTTCAATATACTAATAGGGAAAACAAATGTGAAAATATTCACTTAGGACTGAAATGTTAATCGGCAACAATACACAACAGACTGATCAAATTTCAATCAGTATGCAATAAATAAAAAAAATGTTTTCATAACACTGCAACCTATTAATGTTTATTTTTAAGTTGCAATACTAAGTGTCTAAACTTTTGATAAAAATGTTCTTGAATTCTGTTTGTAGTTATACACTACATGTTTTGACCTTAAATGGTCATCATCAAGTAACATAAACACATCAGTTAAAAATATCTCTACTGGAAATACAAATTTTGTTAAAACATATGTATGAAAATGTGAAGAGAACACTGAATTAGTTCAGATCCAAATTAAATTTGATTGAACATGAGTATAAAAATGGGCAATACTTGTCCCAATACACTGCCATTTTGAAATTATAAATTGTGATATGACAATGAAAGAGCTGAATCTTGAAATTGTGCAAGTGTCATGGAGGCATCAACTGCTATGCAGTGGCTTTTTAAAACATGTTTCTGTGGCAATGACGATGTGTCCACGTCAGAAGCATGACTTTCTAATAGGTCTACAACAAGCCAATATAAAGAAGCACATCAGATCAGTCAAGGGATGCACATCTCAAGTGTTGTGAGATAATAAAATACTGCCAGCCAGCATTACGGTGAGCCCCAGAGTCAACGACAACATAACGTATTAGGGAGAGTCTGTAATTTGAGTCTGTAACCTAGCAGTGAGTGGATGACAAATATTGTGAACACCACAAAGTGTTGCATTCATGTAGACAGGAGATGACAAATTCTATTACTAAACAGAACCCTCTGTACAATCACTATCAAATGACAATATTTATGAAGTTTACCTAGCTCAAAATTTACTGTACAATTTAAACACTCCACACTCCTCATGTTTTATGTTTCATCTTTCACATACATTCTCTTCTGTCAATCTATAACTTTATGTTGCAAGTAAATCTAAATATTTGGAAAACTCCTTTTGGTGTTTCTCTGCTTGGTGAGTAGCTTGGCTGATTAAGTGTGTGTGTGACTTTGAGGCAAGGACACGTGGACATAGTGGAATATGTTCTTTAAGACAGATTGATATAGTAGAATGTGTGTCTGAAGGCAAGGATGATATGCTGACATAGTGTGAATGTTATGTCCTTGAAGCAAGCAATCTATATAATAGTAATATGGAGTTACAGTCCAAATTTACTAATATATATGTCCCTGTGAAATTAAATTAGATCTGACATAATTCATTATTCCCTCCACAATTTTATACATCTTTATGTTTTAACTAAACCTGTACTTACATTATAGATATTTTAAACTAATTTGTGTAGATCACCTCATAATGACTTTTCGTTGTCAGAACATGTAATGTGTAATTAGAAACAAAAAACAAGAAAGCATTTTTATGTAAGTCTGTGTCACAGTTAATTTTACAATTTAAAAAAATGATGGCAAGCAAGTCTAAGGAAACAAGATAAGGTCTACATACACAGAACGATAAACAACACCACAACACAGGCAGGGTGAAGAACCTACAGTCAGAGGTATACATGATAACTACACCAACATACTTGGGATATACGCAATAACACACAAACACCCATGCTGCAGTGCAAATAAATTCAAACAAGGAGACCTCAAACCATGTCATTTGGATGAACGGATGCCTCCAAGATAGTGAAATGTTACCTAAATTTTAACTGGTCCATTTATATTAAGCCAAAAGATATCACATTCACATGTGATATAAAAAGTTGGACATTCCATACAGTGCAATAATTTTAGTGAGTTAGAGACACCTGATGATGGTCGTGTACAGCCAAAACATTTGAGAAGGAAAAGTGTGACAATAATAAGTTGCACGTAGACAGAAATAAATTGTATGTAATAAATGTTACAAGGAAACCCTCTTAAATGAATACATCGTAATATTTTTCTTAACAAGGACGAATGAAACAAAGAGGATATGAGGTGTACTGGAAAGTTCCCAGACTAGGTCAAAAAAGAAATGCTGGCTTAACTTAATTTTGGCTGGCATGTCCTTCAAAACAGTCTCCTTGGGAACGTATACAGCAATCCCATCATTTTCTCCACACTTCAGAACCACTGTGGAAGTCATTTTCCTTAATGCTGTC